TTCTTATTTTCCACCATCCCTCCAATTAAGCATTGCTTAAATAATCACAGCCTTTAACTGACAAGGGTAAAATTCTAACATTACACAGTTTACTGTTATCAGCCATTCTTGTGACAGTAAAATTAGAAATTTAATAAATTCTTAAAGGTAAAGGTTCCCTTTGCACATATATACTAGTCGTTCCTGACTCTAGGGGGCAGTGCTCATCTCCATTTCAAAGCCGAAGAGCCAAGTTGTCTCCGTGATTATGTGGCCGGCATGATTAAACGCTGAAGGCACACGGAACGCTGTTACCTTCTCACCAAGATCGTCCCTATTTTTTACTTGCATTTTAACATGTTTTTGAACTGCTAGATTGGCAGGAGCTGGGATAAGTAGCGGGAGCTCACTCCATTACGAGGCACTAGGGATTCGAACTGCCGACCTTTCTGATTGACATGCTCAGCGTCTTAGCCACTGAGCCACCACGTTCCAATAAATTCTTAGGATAAGATAAATTATCAAATTTAGTCCAAATTATATGATGAAATTGTTCATCTGGATGAGGGAGCCTAGATACTAACTGTAAATTCACCATGAACTCTGAACCAATTACTCTTTCTCAGCCCAGCCATTCTCATATGTAGAAGTCAAAATTTAGGAAAGACAAAGTCCATAAACGTCTAGAAGAAAGTGAGATATAAATGTAATAAATTTTAAAAAGTAGTTTATTGGGACAATTTATAGAATTGCAAGCAAATAGGTCTCTCTTTCTACAAAAAATAAAAACAACTGCTATATTAAACCAAAATATTTATCTAATCCAGAATGCTATTCTTCAGTAGCTAATCAGAATCTCCTGAGATGCCTTTAGGCAGGACAAAACAATTGAGCATCTTTGCTTCACTATCAGCAAGTACTGATATCTGAAATTCTATTATTTCTGTTGAGGGATTATGCAAACTAGATTCACACCTTGCCAAACCACCATACCATAGCACAATATAAATAAATTTATATTGTATTTGTCCAACTTCCTTTGCAAATTCTCCTGTTTGGTGGACATCACTGATATCGATCTTATACAGGGGAATTCCACAAGTGCTCCTATCTTGCCTGACATATTTTTCCTTATCTGTCCCAAATTCTTCACTGTCAACATTACATAGGTGATTCTGGATTTGTTGTGCTTTGTTGAATTTAAAAAATCTTTAAAAAGCTAAGCAAGTTCATACCTGGCTAGTCCTCAGATGCAGACTGCCATTTGAAAAGTCAAAGCTAAGTTGAAAGGCTAAGTCTCAAATATTTATTTTTCAAAAGGCAACTGGACTTTCTTTGTTTGAGAAGTGAAACCTCTTCTAGGAAAAAAGAAAGTCCAGTTGCTTTTTGTAAAAGCACATTTGGGACAATGATAATCTGGTTGACTGAGAATCTACACAGACTACCAGAAACTAAGGTTTATGTAAGGAAGTCTTCAGTTTCCCTATATATCTGTTATATTTCTATTATGTTCTCCTTCCTCACTTTCCTTCTCAGTTCCAAAATGCCAAATATAAATTTCTTCACCAGGAACATATTCCAGTTCTTTGATCAACTTCATTGCATCTCTTCTTTTCCCACTTTTCCAAAAGCTTGTTGGAAGTTTATTGATTTATTTATAAAATTTATTGGCTGTCAATCTTACTTGAGGGTAAGCAGAACTGCATCCAGGATTGTTAGGATGGATTTCCCCACATCATCACATTATCAGCAATCTTCCAGTTCTGACTAATTATCAACATCTTACAAAGCACACAGCTAACTCTAAAATTAACATGTTATAGGAATGGATACAGGGACACAGTAGCTCAGTGGATAAGATGTTGAGCTTGTCGATCAGAAGATCGGCAGTTTGGCAGTTCGAATCCCTAGCGCTGCGTAACAGAGTGAGCTCCTGTCCCAGCTTCTGCCAACCTAACAGTTCAAAAACATGTAAAAATGCAAGTAGAAAAATAGGGACCACCTTTGGTGGGAAGGTAACAGCGTTCCATGCGTCTTCAGTATTTAGTCATGCTGGCCACATGACCACGGAGACGTCTTCGGACAGTCCTATCTCTTTGGCTTTGAATGGAGATGAGCATTGCCCCCTAGAGTTGGAATGACTAGCACATATGTGCGAAGGGAACCTTTACTTTTACCTAGGAATAGATAACATGAAAGAAAGAAAAAAGTACTCAGCTGTAATAATTAATACAGATGACCTCTTTGGGCTATAAAATATGTATTTTTAAATAAAATATACAAATATGTAAATATATTTGTGGCTTTTATTGATTGTTCAATATGTTTCTGTGAGAGGGGCAGCCGTATAAATGTAATACAATAGCAAGCAAAATAGAGCTTCTGCAAACAACTGCAGTCAGCCTATAATACAAGGTTCCCACTTGTATGACTTTAGTTTTTTGGCTCCTTTTTGGCCATCTAAGGCTACCACAAATGGTAAGAAGAGCTGAAGATGGATCAGGCCCATTTTTCTACTTGGGCATCCTGTACCCCAGTAACTCATAAGTCCAAGCTAGAGAGCCATAAACGCCTTCCAACAACCTTTATTTTAAATGAGCTAACCCTTGGACTGCAAGGTGATAAAATCGGAGATCAGTCCTGACTGCTCTTTAGAAGGCCAGATCCTGAAGATGAAACTCAAATACTTTGGCCACCTAATGAGAAGGAAGGAGTCACTAGAGAAGAGCCCAATGCTGGGAAAGATTGAGGGCAAAAGAAGAAGGGGACGACAGAGAATGAGTTGGCTAGATGGAGTCACCGAAGCAGTAGGCATGAGCTTAAATGGACTCCAGAGGATGGTAGAAGACACGAAGGTCTAGCGGAACATTGTCTATGGGGTTGCGATGGGTTGGACACAACTTTGCAACTAACAACAACAAATAACAGAAGACATATGAAGAACGGTTGCAGGAACTGGGTATGTCTAGGTAAATAGAAAGAAGGACTGGGGGAGACTTGATAGCAGTGTTCCAATATTTCAGGGGTTGCCACAAAGACGAGTGAGTCAAGCTATTCTCCAAAGCACCTGAGGGTAGAACAAGAAGCAATGGGTGGAAACTAATCAATGAGAGAAGCAACTTAGAACTGAGGAGAAATTTCCTGACAGTTAGAACAATTAACCAGTTTCCATTTGCCTCCAGAAGTTGTGAATGCCCCAACACTGGAAGTCTTTAAGAAGATGTTGGATAGCCATTTGTCTTAAACAGTATAGGCTTTCCTTCCTAGGCAGCGGGTTGGACTAGAAGACCTCCAACGTCCCTTCCAACTCTGCTATTGTATAGTATTGTATTGTATTGTATTACATCAATATGAGAAAAGCAGCATCCATTTATGGCCAACCCAAACCCGAAGAAGTCCACATTTTATTAAAAGGCACCCAGCTCTCTTCCTGAGAGGCCTCCGTGCATCTGGAGAGATGAACTGTGTGGGTCATAGCAACTTAACGCTCCCTGTTCTCCCCCATTAGGAATGGCTGGCCATCCATACAGTAGCCACGGTTAGCCTGATTCTCCAGGAACGCAGCCAGGTCCTCTTAAAAGCCCTCCGTGCCGGCTACCAAGAGCACAGCCGACGGCGGGTCCGTTCCTTAGTTTTCTCGGCGCCCTCGAGGAAACCTCGCATTCAACGAGCCTGCGCTCTCGAATCTCTGGCGGACGAGTCTTTGGTCCTCTCTGGTCCTTCCACCCGTTGAGCTTCGAGATGGTCCAAGCCGCCTGCGACCCGGGCAGGATCGCCGCCTGCCCCCCACCCCACCCCAGAGGGGCAGGGAGAGTGGCAGTTCCCGGCAGATTCTGGCAACCCTTTCGCCCACCTCCGGCAGAGTCCCGGCTCGGAGGCGTTAGGAAGGCGGAGAAGCGGACGGCCTCTCCGCGGGGAGATGCGGTAGAGCACAGCGCCACCTACTTTTCGCCGCCGCAGCAGCAACAGTGGGAGCCCAGCGTGAGCGGCGCTCCAGCCGAGCTCCTATAAGAGAAGGGGGCGCGAAGAACCAGTCTCGCAACTCCGCTTCTCGCCTCACCCCGCGGTATCCGCGCTCCGCTTCTCGCCTCGAGCCGGCCTCCCTTCCTTCGAAGGGGCGCAAGGGAGACCGCGAAGCCCGGCGGCGGCGCCGCCACCACCCCTCTTTTGCCCCACGTGGTTCCCGAGTCGGTTCGGTTCGCCGGGCTTGACCTGCGGCGGCCGGGGTTGCTCCAGCCCGCCGTCCGTCCTGCTCGGGCTAGTGGACGGGGGAGGAAGAGACGCCACCTGGACCGGGGAGGGAGACGCGCCGCTTTGGGGGAGCCTCGCTTCCAAGCCCCGCAGGCGTCTCCTTCGGGCAGCTTTTGCAGGTCCGCTATTTATTCCCAGCGCTTTTTTTCGGACGGGGCGAGCGGCGTGGCGGTTATTCGAGCCCCTCGGAACTTCCCGCCTTATCTTAGCGGGAGAGTCACCTTGATTTAAGCCGACGGGGTGGGGTGGGGGGCTTGTGCCGAGTCCACGTGCAGGGAATTACAGCTGCTTTGGAAGCGCAGGCGGCTTCCCGGGTTTGGGGAGCGCGCGGTCCCTGGCTCCGGCCAGACGGATCAGGGGTCCCGAACCAGACGGCACCGCCGAGGCTAGTTGCCCTACCTGGGGTGTGACTCGCGGGGCTTCTTAGCCGCCTAGTCGGGGCTCCGAGCCTCTCAAAAGGACGCCGGGCAGTCGGATTGGAGGAGGCTCCATCCTAAAGCGCGCTTGTCTCCTCGGAAGTAACCGCGGTTGACTCGTGGGGCCTAGAGTTGCCGTCTTAAAGCAACAAGTCTCGTATGAATGTTGTCTTCTTAACCTCTCTTGCGCTTCCAGGTCGGGTAGAGATGCTCGGAGTGGGCCGGGCTCGGCGGAGAAGCTCGGGCGGCGTGCGAGTCTGAGCGGCCCCCGGAGTAGTTGCCTGGAGGGCGCCGTCCACCTTTGCGCCTGTCACCCTCGCCGTTTCGAGGGAGGGGAAGGAGGGCGACCCCGTGACTCCCCAGCGCCGCTCCCGGCGGCCGAAGCTCGGCTTTTTTTCCTCTGCCTGGTGAATCCCCAGTTCCCGGAGATCGAAGGATGCAGTTTCGCCTCTTCTCCTTTGCTTTGATCGTCCTCAACTGTATGGATTACAGTCACTGTCAAGGCGGCCGGTTGAGACGCGGCAAGAGAGGTGAGCTACTTCTTCCTCCTGCCCTTCTCCACTTTTTCCCAGTGGGTAGCCCTTCCTTCCTTCCTTCCTTCCTTTCCCTTCCCTTCCTCTCTTCCTTCCTTCCTTCCTTCCTTCCTTCCTTCCTTCCTTCCTTCCTTCCTTCCTTCCATTTCATTTCATTTCATTTCCCTTCCCCTCCCTCCTTCCCTCCCTTTCTTCCACCGGCTTATCTCCCCTGAGGGAATCCTTTAAACTGGAATAGATAGGCTCTTCTTTTTAAGCTTTGATGTGATTTAAAACGGGCTGAGTGGGAAGTGGACAAGGCTTCTGGAAGTTCCGTTTTCCTCTTTCCTGGAGAAGGAGACCCTTCCCCCTGCTCTTCGAAAGCTTCCACCACAAAAGAGGGAGACCCCCACGTAGGTAGAGTTTGTGCAGCACATTCTGCTTGGCTAATATTAACGATACCGAGGATACTGTATGCACCCAGAAAAAGTTAACAACCAACACGTGTTGAGAAAATGTATTCTCTAAATGTCCTTAATTGCTTTTGGTCCATCTGATTTCAATACCGCAGCCCTAATCTCCGGCTCAGGCTGACTCACATACAGTTTGCTCCTGCACAAATGAAGCAAACACTACTAGAGGATATGTGTCAAACAAATAGCCAAGCAGGTGCCATAAAGCCTCTAACTGCCCCCACCAAATTGGAATCGCAGGTAAAGATCTATGCCAACAAAGGAGAATATTTGTAGCTCACAATTGAAACGAGGGAACCGGGGTGCTCTCTGAGCTTGGTTGTTTTCTTGCAGACATTTCATTACCGGAACTAGGTAACGTCATCAGTACTAGTGTACGATCAACCTCTGCATATGACCTGTTGTAATTCTGGGCATGTAAAATAATTCTTCCCCCATTCTATTTCCCTTTGATGCTTCTCAATTCTTTTGATGGGTGTTGCAAACAGAAAATGTAGAATAATCTCTGAGGCTGGTGGGACTGGTGGAATTATGGAGTAACGAGAGGATTCTAAATAAATTTGCATGGCATTTGCATGACATGAAGGGTAGATCCCCCACAGAGGCAATGGAAGCTCACTGCTGATCATGATGTTGCCCAACCTGTACTTAGTTGCCTAATTCCCAATTTCTGTTGGGAGATCTGACAAAGGACAAAGTCGGTGAGAATCCTGGATTAAAATGTCAAATGTTCTGTGTCTGTGTAACACCTGTAAACAGTGGAAGGCTTCAGCTATGAAAATACCATTATAGGATACTTTTCTCCATGAAGAGCTAATCTGTGATATTTTGAGAGTGCATTTGCAATATTGAGCATCATTTTGTCTTAATTGTGCTATTAAAAGTAGACCCCAGATTTTTTTTAAAGGTCCTATTGATAGTTTGTTTCTGGGTTGTGCAAGCAGAAGGTGGTCAAATTAATATTTGACTTGAGAGTCAAAATCCTGAACAAAGAGAGAAAGCAAATTCCCTGTGGATGGCAGAACTAGTAGCTGTTGCCTATTGCAGATGTTGCAACGGAATGTGATGTGTGTAGATTTTTGCACTTTGCTTCTCCATTGTATGTACAATTTCCTATTAAACGTTGAAGACTCCAGTCAAACTAGCCAGCTAGTTGGATACAAAATACTATTGATCCTATCTATAAACTAGTAACTAACATCTTCGTCATTTGCTAAATCTATGTTGAATGTGATATTCACTGTTCTGTTGTTCTGCTGCTGGGTTTTTTTAATTGCTGAAGAAATCAGTGCTTTGCTATCCATTATGTCATTTTTCCTTCAGGACTGGCTATCCAGAAGTTTATTACTTTATCAGGTCCTACCTCCTTACACTGATTTGGCTCACTTCCCCAAACTATTAGCCTTGTTTTACTAAGCCAGCTGGAGTGAAGGGAATATCTACTAATAATTCGAATAAGTCCTTTATGTCACAGTAATAAGCAGACAATAAAACTGGCAGGCAGCTTCTCCGTAACGTTTCCTTTCACCTTCATCCATGTAGTTGTTTGGAAGTAGTTTTGAACGTACATAGATAACGATGTGCAAGTGGATGTTAAAAGCAGCAATGACATTAGACCACTGCAGAAACAAAATTCCACTTCCCGTTTCTATTTCCTGAAAGAGAAATTAGTATCAAAATCTCATTCTAAAAGAGAAAAGAATGTTGGGCACATTTTCATGGAGTAGATGATGTTTTTGCATGGAATAAATTATAAGTCGATCCAAGCGCATGTGTGAGTAGCATGTTTGTGTAGTGCAAGTCTCTCATAGATGCCCTGCAGCTTCCCTGTCAGATCTTGCACTTCAGTTCAACCCCTGGGTTTTTTTTGGGGGGGGGGGAGAAGATACAAAAACAGCCAGGGAGACTTCAAGTGATGTGTAACAGAAAAGCCGCAGTAGCCCCATTTACCAAGTTCCACACACCAGATAGGTTCAAACACACCAGCAAGATCTCTTGGAAAAGAGTTCTCAAATATTTTAAAACATTGGTTAAAAAAACAAAACACCAGAAATTTCTTTTCATGATGGGGGGTGGGGGGCTTTCTTTTCTTTTTTTAAAAAGGCAGATTGTAGTATAGCATGTCAAAGTATCTTTGACTAAACATTGCTTTTGTTTCTTGTTTTTTAGGCTCTGAACTGGTATGGCTTAGGAGAAGGAAAGCAAGTGTTGAATTGCTTTATGGGTTTGGGTTTTGTTGTGGACAGATGTGTTAGACTCTCTTAGAGTAGGAAACCTACATCTTTTCACAAGAAAGAAGTCTCAGCGGATACATTGCAAAATGTGAAACAGAAAGAATGGGTTTCTTAAAGCTTGCTGTGCCCTTTAAATAATTCACAGTATTCGTCATAGTGCAGACTATTTTATGATGGGATATGATGGATGCTTAACAAAGTCCTTCTGTCCCAGGACATTCATGTGGGTTATTTATCAACTGCCTTTGAAGACCTGCAGTAATAGCCATATAGACGGCAATGTCTTGCATTTTTTTCCTTAAGATAGCTGCTACATTGGAATTCTAACCCCATAATTTTCAGATTGACTCAGCAGAAGGAACTGAAAGTACTCTATACTTGAAATACATCAGAAATGGGAGTCTACTACATTTATATTTTTGTGGAATCAAGTTTCAGACAATTCAGTAGACTTATTTCGGTTTAAACACATCCAAGATTAGAGGGTTATATTTCTAAGACGATAAAGCCATGATATCGCAGCCCTTTTTATGAGTTCTCCAATTGAGGAGATTATTTGTTGTTGTTGATATCAGACTGTTTGGTCCTCCCTGCTGAAGACTGAAGAAGAGAAATTTGTTCCTTTGCAATATTCTAGAGGACATAGCACTCATACACAAAACTTTAATCTCAGCTGAGCACTTGACATTTTCATTTTGTGTGTCACTGGAAATGGAAATCCTGTATTCCAAGGATTTTTGAATTAACATCTCATGTAAAAATGAAGCCAAATGGTTGTTAAATTATTTTCTTCTAAACTTCATTGAAAGAAAATGGTAGTACCTATGAGGTATGAATGTTGCTGTCACAACAGTATATAATAAATAAATTGAAGGTCATTTGCTCATTCTCCTTGATTATTTTTGAGCCTGATAATGTTATGGGTTGATCAGGCCTTTGATGTAATGGCATTTTTTTTTAACTTTGATTAAATTTGAGGGCAGATGCCATTTTAAATTGTGGTCAATTCTTTATTAATTCAGTTGTTTACTGCCACGTTTTGAGCATGGAACTAATTGCTTTGTAGCTATCATGGTTAGAAAGCCATGGGCTAGATTAGAGAAGGCATCTAGGAAATATAGCCACAAGGAAGAGCTCATGATCTTCTTAGATCAAGCTATTCTTGATTATTGGATGCTACATTAGTATGAAGTAGAAAAAAACGTGTCTGGTTAGTTTCTGAGACCTTATATATGAAGTTGTGGTGAGACTGTGTTGTTACTACTTCTGTTTAGATGGCTTGAACAAGGCTTGCATTTGTTCAAATAAATCTTCCTTAGCAGCATACTGGGACACTAGAAATGACATCAGATGACTTAAATCTGTTTTGCTAGAACTACATTACTCAACAGTGGGATGTGTTAAGAGTTCAGTTTAAAACAGATATTCATAGAAGCAAGCTAATCTTACGGCACAATGCCATTGATATGTCAACGAAAAACTGCAGCTGGTGGAACTGGCTGAACATTAGGACTGCAATTCTGTGTGGATCATAATTTTGCTTTCCTTTTTTAGTTCAGCTTATCTTGGGAAAGGTTTGTAGACATTATATATCCAACTTCTTACTTCATAAAGGAAATCTTGATGAAAATATAGTGGACGTAAAGTCCAACAATATTGTTCTTTGTTAGGGTATTTTCAAAGCTGGACAGTACAATTTTTCAAACCAGGTTGCTGTTTTATTTGACACCAAATATCCCAAACTTGATGTACTCAAGGTTTATTGGAGTGTGCCTTCCATCGTCTCTAGCAAAGCCAATGAGATGAAAATTTATTTTTATTTATTTATTTGTCAAACATGTACAAGGTAACAGCTATAAGTATGAACATAAACATGAACAAAGGAAGTAGATGCAGAAAAATGGGGAGAGTAAATAGAGATGGTAGAAATGCTTTAGAAATGCTTTTCCCCCCGTTCAATTCTTTCCAAACCCAATTCCAAACTAAAGTTATTCAATCTTTTATTTTATTGCAAATGACAACAATTATATATATATTTTCCTTTAATGAGCTGTTCTTAAAAAGAAATCCGTATGTTATATCTTTAATTAAATGTGGAGCTATTGTAGACCTCAGGCTAGACAGCAAGGGGCGATAATAAAAAAAATTCCGCATTTTACAAGCAGGTTTAAGAACCGTGTTTCAAGAAAACTGAAATGAATAGACATCTAACCCATGTTGTGCAAATTATCCCCCTCCTTCCTCCCATCTCACTTGAAAAAAAAACCCCTCCATAAGCTGGTTTTAATTGATGCCATGTTCCCTGGTTGAT